GATGGCTAGAGAATGTGTGTGATGAAATGACAGAATCAGACTTCAGAAGGTGGGTAATGAGAAACTTCCATGAGCTAAAAGTACATATTATAACTCAATGCAAAGAAACGAAGAACCTTGAAAAAAGATTTGAGGAAATGATAACAAGAATGGACAACTTAGGAATATGAGTGAATTGATGGAGCTGAAAAACACAACACGAGAACTTCACGAAGCATGCACAAGTTTCAACAGCCGAATTGACGAAGCAGAAGAAAGGATATCAGAGGTCGAAGATCAACTCAGTGAAATAAAACGAGAAGGCAAGATTACAGAAAAAAGCACAGAAAGGAATGAACAAAGTCTCCAAGAAATGTGGGACTACGTGAAGAGACCTAATCTACGTTTGATAGGTGTACCTGAATGTGACGGAGAGAACGAATTCAAGGTGGAGAATACTCTTCAGGATATTATCCAGGAAGACTTCCCCAACCTAGCAAGGCAGGCCAATATTTAAGTCCAGGAAATACAGCGAATACCGGAGATATTCCTCAAGAAGAGCAACCCCAAGGCACATAATCATCAGATTCACCAGGGTTGAAATGAAGGAGAAAATGCTAAGGGCAGCCAGAGAGAAAGGTCAGGTTGTCCACAAAGAGAAGCCCATCAGACACATAACAGATCTCTCGGCGGAAACCCTACAAGCCAGAATAGAGTGGGGGCCAATATTCAACATCCTTAAAGAAAAGAACTTTCAACCCAGAATTTCATATCCCGCCAAACGAAGCTTCATAAGTGAAGGAAAAATAAAATCCTCTGCGAACAAGCAAGTACTCAGAGATTTTGTCACCACCAGGCCTGCTTTACAAGAGCTCCTGAAAGAGGCACTACACATAGAATGGAATAACCAGTACCAGCCACTCCAAAATCATACCAAATGCTAAACAGCATCAACAAAATGAACAATCTGCATCAACTAATGGGTAAAACCGACAACTAGAATCAAAATGGCAGTATCAAATTCACACATAACAATATTAACCCTAAATGTAAATGGGCTAAATGCACCAATCAAAAGACACAGACTGGCAAATTGGATAAAAAGCCAAAACTCATCTGTGTGCTGTATCCAGGAAACCCATCTCACAGGCAAGGATACACAAAGGCTCAAAATAAAGGGATGGAGGAAGATTTACTGAGCAAAAAGAAGCAGGAGTTGCAGTTCTCGTCTCTGATAAAATACACTTTAAAGCAACAAAGATCAAAAGAGACAAAGAAGGACATTACATAATGGTAAAAGGATCAATGCAACAAGAAGAGCTAACAGTCCTAAATATATATGGACCCAATACAGGAGCACCCAGATACATAAGGCAAGTTCTTAACGACTTACAAAGAGACTTAGACTCCCACACAATAATAGTGGGAGACTTTAACACCCCACTGTCAATATTAGACAGATCAACCAGACAGAAAATTAACAAGGTTATCCAGGACTTGAACTCAGACCTGGAACAAGCAAACCTGATAGACATTTACAGAACTCTCCACCCCAAATCCACAGCATATACATTTTTCTTAGAACCACATCACACCTACTCTAAAACTGACCACATAATTGGAAGTAAATCACTCCTCAGCAAATGCAAAAGAATGGAAATCATAACAGTCTCTCAGACCACAGTGCAATCAAGTTAGAACTCAGAATTCAGAAACTAACTCAGAACCGCATAGCTTCATGGAAACTGAACAACTGGCTCTCGATTGTTGACTGGATAAATAATGAAATGAAGGCAGAAATGAAGAAGTTCTTTGAAACCAATGAGAATGAAGACACAACATGCCAGAATCTCTGGGACATAACTAAAGCACTCTCTAGAGGAAAATATATAGCAATAAGTGCCCACATGAGAAAGAAGGAGAGATCCAACATTGACACCCTATCATCAAAATTGAAAGAGCTAGAGGAGCAAGGTCAAAAAAGACTCCAAACCTAATCAAAGACAAGAAATAACTAAGATCAGAGCAGAACTGAAGGAGACAGACACAAAAAAAAACCCTTCAAAAAATCAATAAATCCAAAAGCTGGTTTTTCGTAAAGATCTACAAAATAGACCACTAGCCAGATTAATAAAAAAGAAAAGAGAATAACCAATAGATGCAACAAAAAACAATAAAGGGGAAATCACCACAGATCCCACAGAAATTCAAACCATCGTCAGAGATTATTACAAAATACTCTGTGCACATAAACTAGTAAACGTGGAAGAAATGCATAAATACCTGGACACTTGCCTCCTCCCAAGCCTAAACCAGGAAGAAGTCGAAATCATGAATAGACCAATAACAAACAAGATCTGAAGTTGAGGCAGCAATTAAGAGCCTACCACACAAAATAAGCCCAGGACCAGATGGGTTCACAGACAAATTCTACCAGACACACAAAGAGGAGCTGGTACCATTCCTTCTGAAACTATTCTAAATAATCCAAAAAGAGGGAATCCTTCCCAAATCATTTTATGAGACCAACATCATCCTGATACCAAAACCCAGCAGAGACTCAACAAGAAACGAAAACTTCAGGCCAATATCCATGATGAACAGAGATGCAAAAAATACTGGCAAGCCGACTGCAACAGCACATCCAAAAGCTTATTTACCATGATCAAGCAGGATTAATCCGGGGATGCAAGGCTGGTTCAACATACGCAAGTCTATAAACATAATTCACCACATAAAAAGAACCAAAGAGAAAAACCACATGATTATCTCAATTGATGCAGAGAAGGCCTTTGACAAAATTCAGCAGCCCTTTATGCTAAAAACACTCAATAAACTAGGTATTGATGGAACGTACCTCAAAATAATAAAAGCTATTTACGACAAACCAACAGCCAATATCATACTGAATGGGCAAAAACTGGAAGCATTCCCTTTGAAATCTGGCACTAGACAAGGATGCCCTCTCTCACCACTCCTATTCTGGAGCAATCGGGCAAGAAAAAGAAATAAAGGGTATTCAAATAGGAAAGAAGGAAGTCAAAAATTGTCTCTACTTGCAGACGACATGATAGTGTATCTAGAAGACCCCATCGTCTCAGCCCAAAATCTCCTGAAACTGATAAGCAACTTCAGCAAAGTCTCAGGATACAAAATCAATGTGCAAAAATCACAAGCATTCCTATACACCAATAACAGACTGAAAGAGAGCCAAATCAAGAATGAACTGCCATTCACAATTGCTAGAAAGAGAATAAAATACCTAGGAATACAACTAACAGGGAATGTAAAGGACCTCTTCAAGGAGAACTACAAACCACTGCTCATCTAAATAAGAGAGGACACAAACAGATGGAGAAACATTCCATGTTCATGGTTAGGAAGACTCAGTATCGTGAAAATGGCCATACTGCCCAAAGTAATTTATAGATTCAATGCTATCCCCATCAAGCTACCAATGACCTTCTTCACAGAACTGGAAAAAACCACCTTAAACTTCATATGGAACCAAAAGAGAGCAAGCATAGCCAAGTCAATTCTAAGCAAAAAGAACACAGCGGGAGGCATCACACTACTGGACTTCAAATTGTACTACAAGGCTACAGTAATCAAAACAGCACGGTACTGGTACCAAAACAGGGATATAGACCAATGGAACAGAACAGAGGCCACGAAGGCAACACGACCTATCTACAACCATCCAATCTTTGACAAATCTGACAAAAACAAGCAATGGCGAAAAGATTCCCTGTTTAATAAATGGTGTTGGAAAAACTGGCTAGCTATGTGCAGAAAGCAGAAACTGGACCCCTTCCTGACACCTTACACTAAAATTAACTCAGATGGATTAAAGACTTAAACATAAGACCTAACACCATAAAAACCCTAGAAGAAAATCTAGGCAAAACCATTCAGGACATAGGTATAGGCAAGGACTTCACGACCAAAACACCAGAAGTATTGGCAACAAAAGCCAAAATAGAGAAATGGAACCTAATCAAACTCCACAGCTTCTGCACGGCAAAAGAAACAGTCATTAGAGTGTATTGGCAATCAACACAATGGGAAAAATTTTTTGCAGTTTACCCATCTGACAAAGGACTGATATCCAGAATTTACAATAAACTAAAACAGATTTACAAGAAACAAGCCCATTCAAAAGTGGGCAAAGGATATGAACAGACACTTTTGAAAAGAAGACATACATGAGGCCAACAAACATGAAAAAATGCTCATCGTCACTGGTCATTAGAGAAATGCAAATCAAAACCACATTGAGATACCATCTCACGCCAGTTAGAATGGCGATCATTAAAAAATCTGGAGAGAACCGATGCTGGAGAGGATGTGGAGAAACAGGAACACTTTTTCACTGCTGGTGGGAGTTTAAATTAGTTCAACCATTGTGGAAGACAGTGTGGCGATTCCTCAAGGAACCTAGAAATAGAAATTCCATTTGACCCATTACTGGGTATATATCCAAAGGACTATAAATCGTTCTACTATAAGGACACATGCACACGGATGTTCACTGTAGCACTGTTTACAATAGCAAAGACCTGGAATCAACCCAAATGCCCATCGATGATAGACTAGACAGGGAAAATATACACCATGGAATATTATGCAGCTATCAAAAACGATGAGTTTGTGTCCTTTGTAGGGACATGGATGAACCTGGAGACCATCATTCTCAGCAAACTGACACAAGAACAGAAAATGAAATACTGTGTATTCTCACTCATAGGCGGGTGTCGAACAATAAGAACACATGGACACAGGGAGGGGAGCACTACACACTGGGGTCTGTTGGGGAGAAATGCCAGATATAGGTGAAGGGGAAGAAGGCAGCAAATCACACTGCCACGTGTGTACCTATGCAACTATCTTGCATGTTCTTCACATGTACCCCAAAACCTAAAATGCAATAAAAAAATAATAAAAAGATTAAGACTTTTGATTAAAAAATGTATGAAGGAGTTAACAGCAGCACTGATGATACAGCTTCTATCTGTCTGCAGGTCATAAAGGAAGCCATGATGGAAAGCATTGACTACAGAAGACAGAATCCATCTCGTTGCTCTGTTTCCCTCAGTAATGTTGAGGCAAGAAGATTTTTCAACAAGGAGTTTCTAAGTAAACCCAAAGCATAGTTCATGTACTGGAAAGGGCAGCAGTTCCTGATGCTGAGGCAGTTTGCAATTCCGTGACAACTGGATTTAAAAGTACAGTACAGATAGTTGTACTGCTCATGAGAGACTGACCGATACTGAGTCGCAGTGACTTAGCTGCATGAGAATAAGACTATTATAAGGTGGTTATGTTGACAGACAGTGTTGATGATGTAAGGACATACTTAGCTACATTTTCAGTCAGTATGAATTTCCTGATACAAATGTAGGGATATATACTGTATTTTTAAACATTTCTCACCAACGTTCTTATGTGTGTTCTTTTTAAAAATGTTTTTTCTTTTAAAATATTTAACCGTTCAATCTCAGTATGTGTGAATGATATTCACTGACTATTCATCCCATGAGACAACACTATTTTTATTTATATATGCATATATAGACACACATGAAATAAATACATCAATGTGCAAATAAGCATGAGATAACTGAGTTTCCTGTTATTCTTTTTAATGAGATATGGCACTATTGCTAAGAAAGATTCTCATTTTTACTGCTTTCAAACGCAAAAGGCGTTCATCCTAAACTCAAGTGTGAAACTTTTAATTTTAAATCATGGGTGTTTTCTGAAAAGAGGAATATATAATTTGTTCAGCAAGTGGTATATGTTTATTCATTAAGTAGAAAATAGATACACAACCACTTCTAATGTAATGTTTCACTTTGCTGATATGCTGGACCGCTTATCCAATACCAGTGTAGTTGACCTCAGAGAATAACCCCAAAAAAGTGGCAAGGCTGAATCAAGCTTAATAAGTGGCTTACCTTCTGCATCTGCGAGATTTGTCTTGCGAACACTGTATGACACCACCGTGGCTTCAGCTGCAGCTGAACTGACCTGGTTCAGAATGTTCCAAAGCTAAGGCCTTCCTCTTCTTAACCTTCTGCCATTCTTCTTTCCTTAATTACCTTTGTTTAAGCTCTTTATTCATTTGTCTTTTTATCCTCTGACCTTTCACATTCCTGCCTATGAGGAAAGACAAAAAACAATATAGGGAAGCCTTGAGCGTTCATTCTGTTGTTCACTGACGTATGCCTACAATAAACGAGTGCCCGCCGCGTGCTGCCAGGCACGTTGCAGGAGCTCAGGATCTGGAGACACAACAGTGTGAAACCTGACGGAAGTGCTGCCACTGTGAGTGGGGGGAGGCCACAGCATCCTGAACTGCTCAGACTTGCCAAGTGTTCCTGCCTGTGGCAGGGGGCTGAACAGCACGTGGACTGTACCTTAACCTTGCTTAGCAGTCCCAAGGATTGCATTCTGGTGGAGATGGCCAAAGATGATATGACAAAGACGTATGTAGAATGTTAGAGAGTGCTGAGCACTAAGAAGAGAATTAAAGCAGGGAAAAGGCAGATGGGAAGTGTTAGAGGTGTGTAATTTCATCACAGTAAAGAGGTGAGGAGCGGACGGAGCAAGACCTGTGGCTATCCAATGGAGGAGCGTTGCCAGCAGAGGAAGTAACAAAAGTTCCCCAGGTGCAGCACCAAGCATATTCTGGAAACAGAGAAGGGACCAACGGGCCTAAGGCAGAGTGGGAGGTGTACAATTAATTTTCTCTATTTGTTCAAATATTGGCAGTATCGTTTGTATTTGATTTATCCTTCCAAATACCCCTGTAAAGAAACAAGACTAGGGAGGTTAAGAACTATGCCCAAGATGGCTAAACTCTGAACCCAATCCCTATGCCCTGGACCTTATGGCCTGTATGTCACCATCTGTGGTGCCCTCTAGAAACAGATGAACACTTGAGTGACAGTCATTATAAAGCTGAGACCAAACAGGACACTTGCTTTCGCTTCGTTCACACGCTTTTAGTTTCTAGACTACAATAGCAGGCTTTTCATCTAATTCAGCTTTGCCATTTGTTCATTTATGAATTTACTAGAGTTCTGATTTCATGAAAACACATTAGATGGTCAATTAAATCTGTACATTCATTTTTTCATTATTTGTTTCAAAGAATGACTGACAAGCGAGATGGCCCCTTAGTGTTCCCCCAAGACTGTGCCCCCCCAAATCAACACCGTGCCCCCCCAAATCAACACTGTGCCCCGGTAATTTTGGCTTGGCTCTTTGCCTATTTTCAGGCGAGCACAAGCTTTCTAGTTTGTTCATTGTTCACACCTATGACAGGGCTGCTGCTTTACCTCATCCATGTACAAGCTGTCCAATTTCAGACGATTTATTTTTTGTAAGCCATGAAAGCAACAAAATAAAAGCTCAGTGTGTGTATGTAACTAATTTCATTTCTTCTGAAGTATAAAATTTTAAACTTTTCATAAATACTTTTGTTCTAACATGGAAAACACTTTATAAAAGCTTCAAGTGTAGCTCCTCTTTCTTTTTTGTTGCCCTTTCTCTTTACCTCCTTAAACAATTTAATCCCAAAGCCATGGGAATCAACAGGGGATCAAAGTTGGACAGGAAAACCTGAGTCAGGAGGGCATCCACGCAGAGGAAGGAGTGGCACTGACAGTGCAGTGTGCTCACACATGGGGAACCAATCAAGTGATTCAATATATGTCATATAATAAATATAATGGGTGCCAGTTTCTCACTGGAATGGAGCTACAAATATGAAAATGAATAACGGAAGGTTTGTGTGGTGTTAGGTTGAGGCGGGAGGAATTAGTATGAATTCACAGGTTTTAATAGAAGTAGAGATATACAGAAGAAATAGACATGCCACTGGGTGTGTGTACAGATTCTGCCGGTCTGTCATTGAGAGGTTCTGGGAGCAGTGATATCCCAACAGCAGTGAGCACACTTGGTACCAGAATGTGGCTTTGAAATCCCATTGTGTACAGAAACCTAGGATCTTCACAGACGTGGCTGATTCTAGGTCTGGGGCAGAACAAGTATAAAATGACAGTAGACCGTTTTATTTTGCCACAGAGCAGAACTGTTTGCCAAAGAGCAGAAGTGTTCATAGAATGATAAGGGCATGTCAAGAAGACACGTAAGCCAGCTTGAAGGGACACCTGCTGGCTCTTTCTGGGAAATTACGATTCAAATAAATAATGTTAGTAACAGATTATGATCCATTGAATAATATAGAAACAATGACCCCATATTTACGTAAATAGATAGATTAATAAGGAATCACATATTTACATAATCTCAAAATACTTCCTTTTATAAAATAATTACAAAGGGGAAAAAGTAACTTTCTAGTAAAGAAACCTGGCAGACTAAGTAATCAAAATCGATGTTCTCCAAAGTGAGGCAGACCGAAATTGCCCCACCTGGTAGAATGCAATGAGAAGGTAGCATCGCTTCCGTGATAACCTGCCATGGATGCAGCACCTGAATCGAATCATGAAGAAGTGCCAGGCAAACTCGAATTGTGGGAAACATCAAGTATAGTCATGTGTCATCTTCAAAATGGTAACGATTAGGCAAGTCGAGGAAGGACAGAAGAACTGTTCCAGACTGAAGAAGACTAAGGATAAATGACAACTGACGGCAACATGTCAATCTGACCTGAATTCTTCCATTCATGTTTCACCAAGTGTTTTCTATTGACAGACAGAAGATGCCAACAGACCAACAGGTGCAATACGAACTGTCTCTGAAGAGTTGGTCATAGTAATGTATTAATGCTAATATCCTGATTTTGATGCTGATACTGTGGATATGTAGCAGATGATACTTATCTGTAGTAAGTACACATTAAACTATTCAGGGTGATAGGACTTCATGCTGGTAACTTCTAAAAAGCTCAGAGGAGAAAAACATCTCTCCGATCGTACTTGCATCTTTTCTGAAAGCGCCACAGTGTTTTATATTGTTAAAATTATTTAAAATTTGCAACAGAATTTCAGTTGGATGATTCTCTAAACAAATTAAAGGAGGTTACGTCAATGGCTCCCATTTCATATCTGTATTCTTTTAACACTTTTTTCTATAGCTGATCAATGCAAATGCTACCCTTTCTACATTAAATAAAATCAAATAAAGCTAAAAACTCCATAGAACTGCTTTCACCAAATAGTTTAAGGGATAGAGTTTTGTGACACCCTAGTGGTTTTTATATTTCCTCTATTACTGTAATACCAAATTAAAAATCCAATCAATGCCACCTTTTGCTGCATAAGCATAAGAGCAAAACAAGCTCTAGCCAATAATAAAAAATGTGGTGAATAGAAAAGCTGCTTTTTGGCTGGGCACAGTGGCTCATGCCTGTAATCCCAGCACTCTGGGAGACCGAGGCAGGTGAGCCACGAGGTCAAGAGATCAAGACCATTCTGGCCAACATGGTAAAACCCTATCTCTACTAAAAATAAAAAAATTAGCTGGGTGTGGTGGCACATGCCTGTAATCACAACTACTCGGGAGGCTGAGGCAGGAGAATCACTTGAACCCAGGAGGAGGAGGTTGCAGTGAGCTGAGATTGTACCACTACACTCCAGCCTGGGCAACAGAGAGACTACCTCTCCAAACAAAAAGTTGCTTTTTTGGTTGAATTCTCTGAACAATACAGATCAGTAAGCATCTATCGTGCCTTATATGTGTAAGGTGCCATACTTAATTCTGGAAAGAAACTGTAGCAGATACTGCTGCTGTTCTGCCCAGATCCCCTTTCCCAGTCAGACACCCATCCACAAGCAGCTGAATATTGGCCACTAAAAGTCTACAGCTGTATCCTTATTCTGAGAATTGTTCTCCTAATATGAGATATGCTTGGTTGGTTTTGACCTCCTAAGGAAGCCTGCAACCAGTGACTGACTGATGAGGGGTTATAAAGAGCTCTGATGCCTGTAATGTGTATTTATTATAAGGAAGGATAATTCTCTGGTGCTTTTCATGCTCAAGAATTTTCCCTGGGATCAGGCTGAGGTAAGACTTCAACTAGACCATTTCTTTGCTGAGCTGTTCTCCCTGTGTTATCTTTCTTCTCTCCTCATGAGGTTCATCACTGCACACTCCTTCAACGTGTTACGTGAGAACCTGACCTAAGACAGATACAAAAGTGCATGAGACTCGATTCTTGTTTCTAAGGTTTTACACACTGAGTCATTAAAACTGGGGTAATTCTGAGAAGTTTTCATGGAGAATTGGCTTTTAGGTTGAGTATTAAAAGATAAGGAGAAATTCAAATAGGATTGAGGAGACAGGTCATTTCTCTTCTGGAGTGAGCTCACTACCTCCTTGTTGTGGATTCTATGTTCTTCCATGCGTTTCAACATTACTCTAGGATTTGTTTTGGCGTCCATCCACAGACACACATTATGTTTGAGAACTCTTAAAACCTCAAAGTATTTTGAAAAGTAATTTAAAAAAATATGCTGCAATAAGCTAAATCTAACCAGATGAAATTTAACAGCAACAAATGGAGAACACGGAACTCAAATTCAATGCGCCAGCAGTCAAGTGGGAAAGGAGATGCAGAACGTTAGAATTTTAAGGTCGGCATTGTCTAGAATATCCAAGAATAAAACGACTCCTAGAGGGCTAGAAACAGTTTCTTAAATCCACTCAAAAGACTTTTATTAAGGCTATGCTTTGTATTAGGCATTTACATGGGAACCATTTCACAGCACAGATGGTAGAGCCATTACAGTTGTCTTCAGATAGTCTCGGCTTGGAATGAGAAACATATCACGCGAGTTGCCAGTTTCCCTTCCAGAGCTCCTGGCAGATACAGCCATTGAATCATTTCTTTTTCATTCATGAATCTGGAGATAGTTTTGGGTTCCTGCTCAGCCGAGTGCCCCAGGTCGGTCATGCCAATTGACTGGGACTGGCAGAATTAGAAACTATGACTAGGTATGTAGTGGAAGAGGAATAAGACTTTATGTGAGTCCAAATAAGAAGTTTCTACTAACCAGATTGTTCAGAAATAAAATCTGTGATGCAAATAACTTATCGCTGTGGCTATTCACAGATTCACAGGAGATGGGTTTGGGGGACTAGATGAGTAGTAGGGGCCAGTTTAGACGTGTTCACGATACTTTCCTACTCAGTATATAATGCTGTAGCTCTGTTACTATTTTAGATGACGATTTTTGCTAATATATGATAGTAAACCTCTGGTGATATTTTAAATTGATAACGAGTTGGAGAGGGAAATATTTTTAGGCAAGAGTCAACCATCGCTGTGCTAAAACTCATTATGCAAATTATTACCTGCACCTTTTGAATAAGCAGTTTTTAATTATAATCCCTTTCCCCCAGTGTTTTACTCACAGCGAACTTCCTCTTACTTTATGTGGAGTGAACACAAACACGGTGGGAAACATAAGGACTGGGTATGGAAAACCCTGTGAACACACATGGCTGACACAGTGCGTTTAAACACCCCGTGGCTTACGAGGCCCTTCACCGCCAGTGCCTAGTCTCCTCTTCTGTGATCTCTTTTCATTCCTTCCCCACTCAACCCTAACCTTCAGCTACGCTTCTCACCATGTTCTGATCATTCATCGCGTTGTGCCCTTTCACAATTCCTTCGTGCCATCTTTCTCTTCTGGTTTGTTCTTCTAGATCTAGTCAAAATACTGTTTCTTTAGTGAAGTTTCAAGTTTCCCTCTGCAGAGGTGAACACGCCCCTTAGCTCTACGCATGCTCTAACCATCGTGTCTCTAAGTATGCTGATACTTTCAGAGGAAACCGTAGCCCCATCCTAGTCCTGGTTTCTGACATGCATCAGGTAACTTCT